GCTCTTCGAGTTCCTATTGAAGGGTATAGTTGGCGAGTGCGTCACCAACCACTCCAAAAGCATCAAAGCATCACCTCCCAGAGTTTACGTATATCTTTCTCGAGCCACACATGCACAGCAAACCACAGCTTTGAAGTCTCATTCGTGCTTTGAACTTGTATAGGTGTGTAAGAGGTATAGCAACATAGCATTTATACGGACCGGGACCCAGGGTAGCTACAATTCTGTTCCCAGGTATCGCGCGCATGAAGCTTCAAAGCTGTGGATTGCTGTGCGTGTGTAGAGGTTATCGAGCGGTTGACGGAAAGGGAACTTGAAGTACTATACCTGGTAGCTGCACTATAGCTACCCTGGGTATCTATACCTGGCAAGGTGCCAACTACACATTTCCATTCAGATGATGCAAATGATGCAAATTGCATTTCTTGCATCACCACCCCTCAAAAATCACCTCCAACACAACCTCAAAAAACCTTCCCTCGATGCACCCTCCTCCCCCAGCATGTGCCGAGTTTACGTGTACCTTTTGCGGGCCACCCCCCCCAGACCCCCTAACTACTCACTTCGTTCGCCAAGCACAACTCAGCTGGCGCCTTCTACGAAGGCTGGCTTTCGTAACGGATACCGCAGCAAGCTGGCTAAACGACATTGTCAAAGCACCTGACACATCCTAACACTGCATGATCCTGGACGCACCCCCAACCAAACTCTTGCGTAGCAACCCTTAGGTGCTATCATCCGCCATCATCCGCCTGAACCCTGGGAAGACGATCCCATGGACCCGTCAGTACACCACTGGTTGCTAGAGGAAAACACTCGGACCCAGGGGCCACGGACCCGGGTCTATGATGGTCGATGTGAGTTGACTCGGGAGTGTAACTCCGCTCCACTGGATCCACGCTGGGCCCCGGGGCAGAGATCCGTGGCGTCTGCCGTCTTCGCCGAGAGGGCCAGGAGCCGGTCGAGCAGGAACTGGTGCGGAGCCGGGGCACCCGGTAGGGGCGAAGGGGACCCCAGCGCGGCTGGTGGAAGCTGACCAGCAAGGCAATATCAATAGATGGAACGCCCCAAAGACATGGTTGGACACATCTTGGAAACGCCGCAAGGACCTGGTCGTGCTGAAATCTGCAGAACACTTGCCCCTCCCAACGAACATGAGGAACATCATTGACTTTCTGTGAATGAACCTGTTGCATCAACAAAATATGCAGGGGTGCTCATGTCCCTGACCACTAGGAGCTTTCCTTCTGTGAAAATCAATATGTGTTAAATTGTGTTAACTGTTAACATGTGTTGCAACAGTGAACAACATCACCCCACACCAGTTGAAGAGGATGCACCCGGCCACGAGGCTCAGACCGACGGATTCAATTCCGTCACAGTGAGCAAACCAGTGAGCCGGAGGGCCTGCTTGGAGTACTGCGTGTTGCTGCGCTTTTGAAGCAAGCCACGCCTGTTTTCAAATGATCTCGGGGACAAACAGATCAAACACCTTCTTTTTGAATTGATTTGCGGTGTTTTCGGTTATAATTGTTATTGATTTCAAGAACTGGAAGAAATCAGCATACAGCATTATGCCATGATGTGTCGGTGGCGTCCTCGTTGCCTTAAGTCTTCTGAAGGAGCGTCAGGCGCCCGGGGCGCCCTGGTGGAGAAGCCCCACCTGCTGTGATCCTTTTCAGAACCTGACTTCCTGAGCCCTCAGTTCACTCAACAAATAGAGGCTTCTACTCTACTACTCTACCGCTTCCTTCCTCAACGTCTGTGCCGTAACCTGATGTAACCTGTGCTTGTTTAGTGTGACCATGAAGCAAGCCCCCCGAAAAACCATGGCTGCTAGGTTGCCGGCTGGTTCCGTTCACCCAGCTCCGGGCCGATCTATGGGACTGAGCTTCCAGCTGGTTGGAAAAGAAGCCGGCATATAAGGAGCATCCACCTAAAGGCGTGCAGTTGGAGGGCCGAGCTCAAAGGTTGTGGTTTGTTTCTTTTGGTCTGGAGCCTTGGAGATAGCGAGAGGTGAGGTGACAGGGTCTGAAGAAAGAAAGTGATGGATAAGGTCTCAAAAGGCCATTGTAGAGTCTCGATCGATTGGAATCGGAGAAGAAAAGGATGTCACCGTCCTACCAGAACCCTTCATTACGGAGTCTCCTGGCTCAAATGCCCAGCCCACTACGTACGTGGATCTCCAGACAGGACACTCCGACATGAAGGTCTAGGTACGAGGTTATGAGGTTTCATCTTCCATCCAAAATGGTGGGTTGAAAAGAAATAGAACCAAAAGCAACACCTAGACCTTTTGAAGGGTGTCCATTTATGACCCCTTGGAGGTTTTTTGCAGCGTCAGCATTACTTTGAGAAAAACCACCTTCAACCCATCGGGCTGGGCTGTATGCCGGTGTGTGCTCAGATCCTGGCGGAAGAGAGCCACTTCGGGTATTCTCTGCTTTAGCCTCAGCGAGGAGCAAACCCCAAGGGGCGCATCGAAACAGACTTCAACCGCAGTCAAAATGGACATTCGAGAAACAAGAGTCACCATGACAGGCATCTTGGCACATTCAAGACACACACGTTCCAAAAAGGTGTTTACAGGTCTTTACCCTTCACCCCTCTCCAGGAACATCCAGTCTGGTCAAAACAAATCAACCAAACATTGGACTTGGAGATGTGGTGTCCACCCTGTCCACCACCCCCCTCCAGGTGTCGGACGGACAATTGGACCAAACACGTGGGCTGGTCCAACAAATGGTCATTTCAAGGACCTACTTCACCACAATGACATCAAATGACTGATCCCAAGGGAGACTTCTAGACTAGAAGCCGCCCACCTCTCTAGAACAGGGCCCTCCAATCCACCAAGCAGCGGCAAAGTGTCGGCATCTGGCTCCTTGGCCAGAAACTGCCAGAAGGAGATTTCCTGAACACAAAGCATCTGGGAAGCTTGTAGCTGTGGGGGCTCTAGTGGTCAATTCCACAACCATGCGATCAGCTGACATGTGTTGTCCACTGTACGCAGGGTCCGGTTGCTTGACTCAACCTAAGACAGGTGCAATGAGTCTCCATCCCAGAGGACCAAGAGTTCAGCAATCCAGGAGTTCCAGTCAGTTAGAGTTAGGAGCCGACCTTCGCGACCTTGGAGGGTCGGGGTGCCCCTTGTCACATACACTCACAGGATGGGCCTCCCCAAACATGGGTGTGTCCAACTGGAGAAAGACAGATCCCTGGTCCGGCTCCTGCAGTTTTCGGCGGCGCGGTCCGCCGCGCGGCGAAAAAGCGTCCGCCGAGTTGTTGGAGATTAGGGGCGAAGGTAAGCACCCCATCAACAAAGGAATGCACTCCTTGCGAGACTTGAGATCAACAAGGCCCGCCCTCGGGCCCAATGGCCAGTGTGTCAGCCAGTCCCATTGTCCTTCGAGGTGGTGCCCGCCCTAGGAGTGCCACTGATCCACTCCCCATGGGGCTCCCAGTGTTTTTCCCCTGCAGAGGACCACATGGAACCCCCAAACTACTGGTTGTAGAGGAAAATCCTCTTCCACGGGTCATTTTTTTCCAGGTTCTATGTTAGTTTTGTGGAGGAGTATCTTCTAAGAAGCTGGGTCTGAGGTGGCCAGCTTAGGGTCTGAGATGGTCTGAGGGAGCCTGGAGGCTCGGTACGAAGGTGGGACTTCTGCTCCAGACTCCGAGACGTCGGAGTCTCAGAGGCACCTACCAGCACCACGGATTCCGGGTGTCCATTAATAGCCCCTTAGAGGTTAAGGGGTGTCCATTCACCTCCCCGACTGGGGGTCCTGGTATATGCTCCACGCAGTTCCACCCAAATCCAAACCAAGCTGCCATGCGCTGCAGCGTAAGCTGCAGCCGAAGCACCGCAGATACTAGGGTGTTCGAGGAATTCGCATGGTCAACTTTGAACCAAATGCTTGCGAAGATGATCTTGAGACAGGGCGATCTGGCAAAGCGCCAGGATGTGCCAGGAATTCCAAGTTTCATTCGCCTTGTAGTGCTTGGGGCCGCGGGGGAAACATGCCCAAAAGCGTTCAAAGGCTCCAAGGCATGAGACCCCATCTCACCTGAACCCATTCAACCCCTGAAGCGGACACCATCGGTCTCTGCAAATGGTGCACCTCCCACAGCTCCAGTCAGGGTTATATCTTTTGATGTCCTTTGTGGGAAGACTCTTCCAGCGTGACGTGAAGGTGTTTTGTAAACTTTTGGACCTTCAAATCACTTCTATTTCAGTCCCAAATGCCGTCAGTCTCAGCAGTTATCCGTCAACTGTACTTTTGCTGTGCATGTCGGGCGCTAAAATAAGTTCCTTGATGAAGAGCGCATCGGATGATGATGCTTCATGAGGTAGAACTTGGAATGGGCCATTCTTGCCACCGGAGCATGTCCAACATTAGGCCAAAAGGCTAAGTTGCACAAAAAAGTCCAATCAGCTGGCCTGCAGCAACCAAGAAACTCCAAGCCCACCTGTTTCCCCGGAAATGGACAGAAACATGTTCCCCACTCTTCCATTCATATGTTCCGCCCTCACCTCGCCCAAGGGCCGGTCGTCTAGTCCGTCCGAGGCCGGCGTCGGTCCGTCGCTCGACTCTTCGCGGCATCCTTTGGCAACTCGGCTCACACCGCCTCTTCTCACGTTCGTGGACGGCGGTGGACTGGTCAAACTGAGGCCGAACTCGGTCAAAGGAGCACTTCTGGGGCCGAACTCGTCAATGGGGTTCCTTTTTCAACGGCAATATGCTTGGAATGCTTGGCTTGCAGGGGTCGTCTATAGCACATCAACCATCGGATCGCGCATGCATTGCAACCGGAAGGATGCAGGAGCACCCTGACAAGGTACCCCAAACAATGTCCTGTCAGGGTATAGTTCTTCCTCAATCCATCTCCTCAGCTCGAACGAAAGCAGCATGGGAAATCAACACTCCCTGCGTTGCAGGTGCTTTAATAACTTCCTTGAGAACTTCCTCAACAAGCTGTCGTATGAAGTTGTGGTGATCAAAACAATATTACAGTAGTGGTTTCAAAGTAGATGGCACAATCCCCATAGTGTTTGATATCGACCTCAATATAAGAGACACATAGAGACACCCACCATATGAAGAGGATGTTCAATTCATTTGATTCAGCTTCGCCACCCGCGGAGGGCTTCGTACGATCCGTCCATCGCACTCTGTCGACCTCTGTTGGAACGGGTGAAACGCACGTCCAGCGGATCCCACTGAAGCTTCGTAGCGATGGACATCGTAGGCCCAAACGCTCCTCCACAGTCAGAGCTATATCATATCGATATAGACAATATACAATTTAGATGTAAATTTATATAACATAACTTATACATATAAAACAATATTTTGTATATTATAATATTGATATATCATATTATGTGCCATATGGTCATCTCATCCCATACATGGAGCGCAGGATCCACATGGCTTGATCTTCGCCACCCGCGCCGTGGCGACGGTCGCGGCCGTGCTCAGTGGGGCAAGACGGACAGCATCCGCGTGATCGAGGCCTTGGTCCAAGGGGGCCCTATCAAACTGGAGGAGAAGGATGTCACAACCTCCATGAGGTGGAGGACTGAGGACCCGCTGGCTCATTCTTCCGAGCTCCAAAGCTAACCCTTCTCCATGGTTTGTGTTAGATGATTTTGGCATATATATTTTTTACATGTAAAAACTGCATTGTGAAATGTTCCTGTGTTTCAGTGTCCACGCTCTAAGGAGAACGCCCTTTCACGCCGGAACGTTCGCCCTTTCACGCGCCGGGAACGACTCCGTCTGGGGACACCGCGCGCGCGCGAAAGCGTGTCCTGCTCGACGCCAGTCGAGTCGATGGAGTCCGAGGCACATTGAGATCGCCCACCTGAGTCTCCAGATTTCCCAAGCGTCTGTTGAGATTGCTGTCCTCGGTTTGGCGCCCGAGTTAGTAATACCATGCTTGGCGCGAAGATGGGTGGGGAGAATTTGAAAACTCTCTTGAAGACTATAAGACTTGGCTTAGGGGTAGCTGGATGCCTGCCTTTCTGGACACTTGTAGCACACTTTTCTTGGAGGATGGGATTTCATGTTTATTTCCAAAGGAAGGTGCGTCTTCATGTGCTGGATCATGTTCGGCGGGTCGGTGCGTTGTCTTGATGTGTCTGATGGAAAATTAAGGATGTCGAAACACAATCATGTTGAAGGAGTTGGAGCAATGTCTCAGAGCGTTGAAGACGACACAATCGCATCAAAGGTGAAGGCATTTCACCATGATTCATTTTGACAGTAGGGTCCGCCAAAGGCTTCACCTGTGATTATGATTGGTGGTGTCAATGTCTTGACTTGGCGAGTCGTAGTGGTTGGATTCTTGTTTTGGAGAGACCATCCTACAAAAAAAGGGGCACACACATGTGCTTGATGCTCAAGCTCCAAAACCTGGGGAGCATGATGGAGCACGGTGGAAATCATCGACCTCACTCCAACTTCCTGCCGCCACTCAGGACTTGAGCTTCTCCCCAACACCAGCATTGTGCATGAATAGCGGGGTTTTGCCTACCCGGTTGTTGGTTTGGCCTTTGAGCGGCTTCTTCTGCAAAAATCACCAAGAGACCTCGTCACACTCCTTCTCCCTCCCTCCCTCCCTCCCTCCCTCCCTCTCTCTCTCTCTGTGTCTCTCTTTCTCCCTCTCTGAGGTAATTGGGCATGGCTGGGTGAACATTCGGCACACCTCCACCAGCAAGCACGCAACCACCGGCAGGTCCCGGCCAGAAAGCACCGTGGGAAGGACATGCCACCTGGCCTCAGCCACCTCCAAATCCGCCCCGCTCGATGCTTTTCGAGCTGCGAAGCCCTGGCTGCTGTGCATCAGGTCATCACCATGTTCCTCGTCGCCCCCCGCGGCGAGAAAGGTCCCCAGCTGGTCCGAGGCAAACAGAGACTTCAGGTCAGGGAAAAAAGGGCGTGATTTATGAACCTCCCGATATGGTCTTACAATGGCAATGGCAAATGGAGAGGTATTAGTCAAGAGATGTCAAGAGTCTACACTGCGAAGGCAAATCTCGCACATGTTGAGATGCTGAACACCTCACCGTGCAACAGTTGGGAGTTCCAGCACCATTGATCACATGACGTTTGTACTTTGATTGGGTTTCATCTCCAAGCTGTCCAACTCCTATAGGCATTTTTGCACCGGGCCCTGATGGCCCTGGCTCTCAACCTGCGGTGTTTACCCCCCTTTTTCCTTTCGATTCCTAACCACTCCCACTCTACCTCCCTCCACGACCCCCCCCACCCAAACCTTCCTCTAGCACTCTACCTCAACCGCCCAACTCCAAACCGTACCCTTCTTTACCGACTTTCACGCTCGGCACCGCCCCCGAAGCACGTTTCGCCCCCGAAGCACGTCGGCCTGGTGAGTCTTCAGCTTGCCATGCATCATCTCGCGGATCTCGCGGCGCAGCTCCGTGACCTGCGGGCGAAGAGGTCGGCTTCGGTCGACGCGGCGACCGGGTCCGGGGGGGAAGAGGTCGGATGGTTTGGGAGGAAACAGTGTCAAACGGGGGTGCTATATCCCTTACAAGAGGCCCAAACACCCCTGGAGTACTGATAAACATGGAGAAACTAACCACCCCGATTGGCGGTCCTGGTCAGGGGGATGTCCATGTTGTGATGTGTTTTACGCATCTGGCAGAACATGGACGTCGCCTTCTCATGGACGTTCATGGTGGCATCGCCCTCGGCATCGGTCTGCATCTCTCCCCATGAGGCTGGATCCTTCGGGAAGGCAAACCACACCTGGGCGATGCCCAGTGGAGGTCGCCGGTGACCTGTGAAAGGACCACACCCGAGACAGTACCTATGCCCGATCGGGCCCCAGTCGTACCTCCTCAGGTTCGGTATGACTGGACCTGGACTGGCTGGCACCTGGGCCCCCCAGTCCCACCTTCTCAGGTTCGGTGGCACCTGGAGCCATAGGGATGGGAGAGTGGGATCGGGTCCTGAAACTCCTCCGTGGGATGGTGTTAGAACCGCTGTGCGGTGTGGAGGTCTTTCTGAACTCATAGCGGAAGTGAGTTTTCCACGTGAAAACCGATGGCAGCACCAGGATGGAAGCGGAGCGGCCCCGTGGAAGATCTGGAAGACTCATTTTTCCGAAGGCCAAACAGGGGCAATTCTCCGGTCTCCATGCTTTGGAGGGGAGAATCAACACCTATATATGATACCTATAGGACATCCGAAATCTGACCTTCTTCCGCCGTGGAAGGAGTCTTTTAGAAGAATCAGCTGTTAGACTTCGAGGCTTGCCGAGCGGTCCTAGAAGGGAAGCCGTTCATGCTCTTGAATTGCCCCACGGATTTGTTCAGCGCAGTTGCTGGACCAGGTGCCCGTCCCAAACAGCTTAGCCAGTCCGAACAGATCTTCTTCCAAGGGTTGAACCTTTTCAGGGTTTAGTCGTGAATCCCTGATGAACCTTTACCAAACGGGCTAAGGCTAAGGGTCTAAGGGTATACCAAAGGGAGGTATACCGGTATACCGGCACCACGGAATGGGTGTTCATCAGTAGCCCCTTAAGAAGGTCAATGGGTGTCAGCCACCCCAACTGGGGGTTCCAGTAGACGCGACAGTCAAGCGACGTTGAGTCGCTGAGTCATGTTGAGTCCCAAAACCTCGTTCCGCACCCCTCAGAGCATCGAGACTGGCCCGCTGCGGCGGGTCAGTCTAAGGCGACCCGTCGTGAACCAAGGAACCTTCTCAACGACTCGATATGAATGATTGAATGCGGGCGGCGGGTTGACGTCCCCTTCCCAAAGGGTCCAGATCGTACAAACAGCTTTCCGAAGGGTTTGCGTCCCTTCTTTGGATCATTTGACCAAATTCTGCTTATATAGTCATAGTGACGTCCGCACGCCTGAAAAATATACGAAGGCGGTAACAAGACAAACACACACTCACACATATTACTATAATAGAGTCCGTGCAGTCGATAGATTTGGCTCACATTGATACATATCGATACATTGAACTAAAAAATCTAAAAATATCATATATATACCAGCACCACCCAAAGGGTGGTTTATAGACCCCCCTGAAGATGTATTTTCCATCTAATATCCACCCCTTGGGTGGTGCTGGTATATATCATTATATATCTCTAATTATCCGCCCACAGATAGTTGGTACGTTTAGGTACCTAGACCACCTTGGTTTTACTCGTATTCCTCGTATTCCTCCCCCATCAAATCCAAGCGGCGAAGCGGGCATCAAACTCTCCTGCGTGCTGCAGCTGCTGCAGCGTGCGCGCAGCGGTGCGGCGTGACATGGAGAGAGAGGGATCAATTCTTAGGGATCCAGTCGTACCGAACCTCAGGTACGGGTGATTGGAGACATGTTTTCGTAGGCCCTCCTGGCAAGGGCCCAGTTGTACCGAACCTGAGGTACGGCGCCAGTGGATCCCTAGGGTATGATCAATCCGACTTGGATGACCTGGATCCCGACCCGACACCCTTTCCGGTTCTCAGGGCCTCAAGGCCGTTCAATTTGCCAGAGAATCAAAGCCCATGGCATTGGAAAGACCCAAGTCGGACACTGGGCAGGTGAGTAGGCGATGTCCAGCGTGCAAGCTGCAGTGTAAGCTGCAAGTCGCAAGGTGCATGAATTTGGGAAGTTGTTTGAGTTTTTTGGGCCCTGCAATTGCCCAAACATTCTTGGGATATCACCAAATCACTTGTTTGTCGTGGATGTTAGCGAAGTACCTCAAAACCAGGATACCCATGGATACCCTCAATCCCTTGTGCACGAGGTCCATCCGTGCTTTGGTCGCTCGGTCGGTGTATGTTTAAGCCGTGTAGTAGATGCGTTTTCGTGGCCAAGTTGGTACTTGAAGAGCGCTAGGAACTTCTGAAGTCTGAAGGAAAGAACACATCAACCAGGGCGCCCCCCGGAGCCCCCGGAGCCAGTGGACCTCCCGAATCACCTTCCAAGATCTCTACACTCAGGTCCAAACACATCACATGGTTACGTGGATGGCCCCAGTGAAGACCATGTTCCTCTACAAACAGGTGGTTTTCCATTTCCATGTGATGTGTTCGTCGGAGTGTAAGGGGCTATAATTGGACACGCCTGGCCCGGACCGGAGGCCCTGGAAGTTGTCTTTCCTTCTAGGGCACTTGAAGACCCGCCAAAACTTCCCCCCCCATCTCTCCTTGTACCCGCCGCCGCCGGCACAGGCTACAGCATTTCTTCCAGCCCCGATTCGAGGTGAAATGTTGGAGCACTAACCTCAGCGATGGTCATTGTGCACGATTCATGGGTTGATGTATTCCGTCAGGTTGATTGGAGGTCCTGGATTCTTTAAGATCCAAATCTCTGAAGGAAAAATTGCAAGTTCTTATTAACCCAACGGGTCCGTAACCCCTGTCCCTGGCGGTCCAAGAACTGCATCTTTCCGTAACCCCTGCCCCTGCCGTTCATCGGAGTTGGAACAAAGGGATGTGATGTTCCCCCAAGCCATGGGGGTTTGCATTCCAGGTTCCACTCTTTGTACCGTTTTTGGGGGGGAAACCTGGAATAGTGGAATATCTGAATTATATACATATGTATATATATAAATATATATTTATGTTTTGTATTGTTTTGTCATGTTTTGTCTAAAGAGTGCACACTCCACTGGTCAGTTGGACCAAGTTTGGCTCGATTGATATCCTCAGCTTCATCAGCCCAAACAAATCGGTGCCCGGTCCGGGGCACCGCGAGCGCTCCAAGAGGAAGAGCCGCTCTCGGTGTTCCCAACCTGGTGGCGTTAGGTGGCGTTTGGGACGTCCAAGGTCTGGGCATTCTAGTGTTCAACTTGGATAAGATACTTGTCATAGGTGCCTGAAAGTGCCAAGGGTTCCCCGGAGATGAGATTCTGATAGAAGGTGACCTTAAACCAAACCAAACATTTGACCAATCTCCTATTGGCTTTTGGATTCCAGTGTTCTATCTACCCCAGGATCACGATGACTGTAGATATTTGGTGTGCCAAAACCAGCAAGTACCTGCCAGATGTCTGCCTGCCTCAGCCAAAAGGCAACGAGATGGCGGATCCAACAACACTGGCTCCCTCTGCTGCCTGTATTGATTCACCTAGCTGGAAAGACCTGAAGTTCAACCATGCAGTGGTGGGATTCAAAGTCTTCCTAGTCCTAGTTGCAACTATAGTAGGCAAGTTCTAAAAACAACCAAGCTAAAGACATGTCACAACTTCACAGTCATTCTGAGATGCAAGACCCGGGTCTTTAAAAGGATTTAAAAGGTACCGCCCAAAACTGAATCGATCCTTCTTACCTCTTCATTCACCCCAACATGCAGTTCACCCATGGTCCGCCCTGGTTCTCCCGGGCCTCGGTTGTAGCTCTCAGCCAGCACGCCAATCAAAATATTCATTAAAATGATCGACATGGACAGCCCCATGACGACCAAGACCAAATCGGCCTCAGAGCCGTGCGAGACCTGTGAACCACGAGCCGGGTGTGGCAGGAGCAGCGTTCCGGACGTGGAAAACGGATGTGGGTGCTATTGCAACTGGCGCTGAAGAAAGATGAACGTGGAAAATGAGATCAACTGTTTCAACTGTTCTACGAAAGAGTGAGTTGCTACAATTAGGGCAACAATAACAACCAACCTATTATCAACATGCTATAGCTGCTACAGCCCCTTCCGAGCAGCCCCTTCAAAAAAATACACTCGGGAAAAAGATCGGAAAAGTACAATAATGATTGTAGACCATGTAGGGCCAGCCCAACAAAGAAACCACATGCCTATAGGGCAAGCAATGTGAACCGTTGTATAACCGATGATTTGTTAGATTCGGAACATGCTCTGACAACGTAGTTATGACACAAGAACAACCGATGAAAAGGGGGGGCATTCAAATGATGCTTCATGAGGCATAGATGCCCTCAAACAAGAAACCAAACACCCCACCCATCACCCATCCATTGGCTTCACCGTTCTTTCGTCCACCGCTTTCTGGCGCGGAGAACGGCCGCCGAGACCGCGTTCGAGATCCTCTCTGGGTCATCTCGGGTCTCTTGGTCGGGTCGAAGGCCTGCATTCCCTTAGGGAATGCACCAAGCACAGGGATCATCTCCAAAGCCCAAATCATTGGGGACAGGGCGGCCTGGCGGCCCGAATCCCAGCCTTCGCCAAGGCCAAGGCCTCCAGGATCAATGAGGATCCGCTTGGGAGAGAGCCTCTTCCTTGCATCTTCACAAGTCAAATCTCCGGAACCAGCCGAAACCCATCCTTGAATTGATCAAGGCCTTTCGAGATCTTTCCATTAAAACAAGTCACGTCCTGGAGTGTCCAAGAACGGACCGTGGAACTGCTTTGGTCACATTAACTCGCAGCACTTGGCCGCCTGGCCCTCCGGAACTGGACGTGGCGAAGCCTGGGCGGTGTCGAGGTGGACCGTGGCACCTAAGAAGGTGTTTGGGGTTGGTTTGGAGGGTCCCAGTACTTTCTGAGGAGGTACGACTGGAGCCCTAGGGAGGATGAAGCGGCTTTACAATCCATGTCCGTCTTTTTCTCACCCTTGTGGCAAGGGATGCTGTAGAGTAGAAGCGTCATGGACCCGCAAGTGAGTGCATCCATGTCCGGGGTGGTTTTGTTAATCAACTAACAAGTCAAGGAGTCTATGCATTGCATTACTTATTGTCAACAACTGTTGTCTGCTAAGTAACTATCCAATCAGTTCGTTGGCCACCAAGGTGCTCCAAGTTTCTGACAAGAAGCTTCCCCAACAGGTGGCAGCTGGCTGGCATCTTTCACCGCAGCTGAGTCCTTCCCTTCCTCCTCCGCCTCTTCTTCATCGGTGGCTTCGCTGGAATTCTCACTGCCGCCCAGGGAAAAGGTCTCGCGGCTCTCCTTCAACTCAAAAGGATGCTGTGGAAAAGTCCAACACGGGAAGAATTGGGGTGGACACTCCAGTTGAAAGGATCCTGGATTGACTCCTTCTAGCAGTCCCGATCCGACCAACAAAAACTGCCAAAACCCGCTGGTTTTTGTGGATGAAAGTCGTTGGTCATGACTGAATTTTGAGCAGGAGAGTGCCAGCCAGAATCAGTACCTTGTGTTCACCTTACAGTTTGCACAAATGTTTCTCAACTGTTCAGCATGTCAATCCTGAAGGGTGCAAAAATGTGTGCCGATGTTTGCTTCATTGGAAGACGACCTGACAAAGAAATAATCACACACCAATCGAAGCGTCCTCTAAAGTCAGTAAAGCCACAACTCATTGAACATCTATGTCTAAGTTGCGGGATTGGCTATTGCTGACCTCTTTATATAGACAAAAGGAACCTCTGATGTAGCCAATTGTTCGGCCCAAAACCACCCCATCCCATTACTACTCCCATTACTCTTGTACTGCCTTGTCTTCGATTGCTCGGCCAGCCCTCAAGTAATCATGTATGCCTGTCCTTCGTCTGACAATGTTGTCCACAGCCTTCCAATTGTTTCACCGCTACAAACCCCACCCACATGCCATAGAACAGCCAATCGATCCTACTTGAAAAATAGCATCACTCATTTCAACTTCCCATCCCGTTGCTGCTCTCCTTCAGCCGCTGCTCTGCGAGCTCCACGCTCCGCCATAGGACCACCTGCTCATTGTCCCCCAGCCCTGCTGCGCGGAGGGTGGACAGCACCTGTTCAGCTCAGCGTCTGGAGGCAGTGGGATTTTCCCACCTGAAAGACCCAAAGCTCAGTCTCCAGCACCACCCAAACGATGGTTGAGAGACCCCTTACAAACAGTTTACCAAAGTTTACCATCAAAGGATCAAAAACCATCCAAACCATATGGTGTGAATTCTTTGCAATTATCAAATTGAATGTGTTTTCTTGCTTTTGTTGGGATGTTCTTTTCGAGGGCGGGGGGGCCGGTTGCAAGGGCAGGATTGCAAAGGCATTGCAGGTCACTGTTGGGAGTATATACTGTATACTGTATATACATATAAACAGCAGTATCGTGAGTAAAACATGTTCTGGCATATGATTGGCCAGGGCAAGTGCGGCCAGGCAAGGAGAACCAACTAAATAACTCAAAGACAACACCCCACACTCCATGTGTGGCATATCTTGGGTCTATCCTATTACCAGCTTCTCAAGGCCCTTCTCTAAGATTGTGATACATGCTTACCGTAGACTCTTGATATCTCTTGATGAATTCACCCCCCCATATGAAGAGGAGTATCCAATTCATATGGTTATTCATCAAGAGTCTTCAGAGTCGAACTACGGGAGACTCTTAACCAGCAAGTTCGGATAGACCCAAGGCATATCTCGAAGGATATCGAAGAATCCAGGCTTCTCATGAAGGGTTCTGCGAAAAGGGAAAGGAAGACCCCGCGATCTGAAGGTCTTTTCGATGTTTGGTCATGAATTACCACGTTAATGAAGGAGTTAATATAACATATTACAACATGTCGGCAAATTTAAGGTTTCGAAGCTCTTCCTGGGTTGCGGGTTCCCCCAATTGAAACAAAAAGTGACCAGAGTTTACTATTGGGGGGGGCCGCCAGTGTCTCTGAATAAGTTGAAGGAACTAATTTGGTATCCTTGGAAATGCTGCCAGCTCCTCGCACCTCATCAAGCGTCTGAGTCTCAGGCATCTCCTCCACGCCCAGCTGCGCCAGCACGCCCTGCGCAGCATCAGCCACAAAGAGGCACTCCCCTGCAGGGGGCGGGTCCTCCTCTAGTGCTCGGGAGTCACTCTCGGCCACCACAGCACGGCACAGCCTCAGTGTGTTCGAAGCAACAGCGGGCGGTTCGCCGCACCGGTGCAGCTGCGAGCCGCTCGCTCCTGACCAGGCAGACTGTTCACCTGTTCTTGTGCAGCGGGACAACCAATCCCCGCCCAAAATAAACATACGTTAACCAAACTTTTCACTGTTCAAGTGTTTGGCGTGTGGGGAAAGACAATCCCACGACATCCCACGACCAGGTTTTCCAGTTTTTTTTGCAGGTGATCCACCTTGTCCTGGGGCGTGGGGAGGATGAACTTCCGGAAGAGCTGATGTTTTTTCCGCTCGGACCAGGCGCCTGATTTAGATTCAGATGTGGATATACAATGATATACAGACAACACTGGACAAAACTCTGCTGAAGGAAGAGAGTCTTAGTACAGTCTTAGCAAAAAGCTTCCTAATCTCCGGTGGTCAATGGTGGTCATCCGCAATCCTAAATTTAGAAATTCCATGATTCTTCTCAAGAAAATGTCTCAAATTCCATGTGCAAGTGTCTTTTTCGATGGCTGCCCCCCCCTCCCCTCCCCGCATCTTCTGCGTGACACGGCCCACTCCTCAGTCTCCTACTCACCAGGTGGCCGCACCACCGCCCCTTGCAGGGCTGAGCGCGGTGCCAGCGGGGCGCAGCACGTTCCGCGCGTGGGGAGGAGCCCCCCCTCAAGAGCATGGCGGGTGGAGGAGGCCCCCAGGCGTGCAGCAGGATCTTTGGTCGTCAGCTGCTGGATCAACTGCAGCTCGGCGCTGAACATCCCGGTGCTGGGAATCCAGAGTTGCCCTGCTTGGGCCTGAAAGCATGCGGTCGTGATGCTTGGCGGACGAAAAGAAGTGAAGTCTGTGGGGCGAAAGAACTCCAAACAGCTTCTGCATGCCGATCCCAGGACCCACTGAAGAGTGATACTTCATGGAGACCTCTTGTTGTGCCTTTTGGGTGTCCTTCAACATTGCAAGGCTGCACCAGTGACTGCAACACCCCTGGCTGCACCAACCGCTGCATGGTCCCCATCCTTCTGACCGGTCCAGCGTCGGTTCTGCCTTCGTGAGGATCATGAAGGGCGTGGGAGCGTTGAAGGGCGCAGCTCCCAGAAGCAGCTGATAAATGGCACAGCCCAACGACCACAAGTCGCTTCTCCGGTCGTTGCCAGTGCCTGGTTTCGGTTTCGGACGGAGTGTGAGAGTGTGTGAGTGTGGGCAGGGCAGGAGCACCGGAAGCTGGTTTTGGATCAAACGAACATGGATCCCGGTGCATGCAGCTTATGCAGGAGACGTAGCGAATGGAGGCCTTTTCAACACGGTGCTCAAGGATCGTGATGCCGTACTTCGATGTTCATGCAGAAGGCTACAAACCCAAACCCAAACCATCCAGGTCCAATGTATCCTTTGAGGTCATGTTCATGGAGTAAATGTATGTATCACTCTTCCAGTCGGAGAGGTCTTCTTGGCCCTAACCTCTTTCCATCCCAAGTCATGGCTTTTTCGAAGGCAAACCAAGCCGGGCGTCACCTCAGATCGTCATCCGAGTCGCCTTCGATGGCCTCGGGTGACATGAAGTTGGGCGTCCCCACGTGGTGCTCGTATTGGGGGCCGAGCATCATGGTCCTGAGGCAGCGAATCCATGCAAATCCCCAGGGCCCAACGGCAGGACCCGGTGGCGGTGCCCGATGACACCTCTTCAAAATGCACCAGGTACCCGAACGAATTGTCCTACCTGGTGACGACTCGACTGAAGTGATTCACCGGCACGACCGCTTCACTCCGCTTCACCCCAAACAATTTCTGGAGCCAGGTCGGACAGCTTGGGGATGCTGGGGGTGCTGGATTGCTCCCCTGAACTTCACCTGACCAAAAAAAGGGACCAAAAATGACCAAAGTATCAAATGCCTCTGCCTCTACCTCTGTCCAAACCAAAGGAATGCACGCTGCGACCGAGGCTCGGCACCTCCGGGTGCGCCGCATCGCGGGCCTCAGCGAAGGAGCCCCGGCGGGTGAAGAAGGGGTCCAAGCAATGGCGGTGAGGCCCTGAACTTCCGAACATACACGAAGAAAGAGGTGTTGATTTTAATATGTTAAAAAATGTTAAAAATGGGGTGTATCATGGTGTATCACCGCATCACCAATCCAGTTTCTGTTTTCAAGATTTTTCAGGTGTACCCTGGCACCCCGCAACTAGGCAGCACCGTTCTTGGGGATTCGATGAGGGCATCTGAAGATGTCAGCACCCCCAACCCGGTCACCTGGAAGGATTTCATCAAAACACCCATATGAAACCAAGTCATTCAAAACAATAATAGGGTCATCCACAGCCTCCGTGGGTCATCCACAGCCTCCGTGGGTCTATAGAATTGCATGGTATAGCCCCCCATCTGCAGGTGATGCACTGCCCTGATCTCTTATCTAACTTATTGGAACATAAGTGCACTTACCCTGTCCGGGGTTGGTTGATAGTCACATGTGGTCAAAAGCCACTAAAGCACGCCCGGGCTGCTGTTCCAAAGTCAATCAGTTTGACCTTCCTCTCAGCAGTGAGTAGAAAGTTCTCGCACTTGATGTCCTGCAAACAACTAGGAACGCAGTCACAAAGTCAGTCTAAATCTGGCAAAGGTGCATCCAATTGAGCAACCCAGTGATCAAAGATTCCAACATCCAACCATTGGCTCACCGCGAAAACCCCGCAACACACGTCATCTCCACAATGGTCGAACATCCATCGACGAAGGTAAGCCAGTCAGTCACTCCGGTTTGAAAACGATTCTGCCCTAGGGCTCCAACCATATCGTCAGGTTCGGTGGTTAGACCCCCCCCTAGCACCCACCCGAACCAACTTCGAAACGGAGGTAGGCCAGGAGCCCGCTATAGGGCTGATACAAGACCGGATCATCTCTTCTTTCCGCGGGTCCCGATGCACGATGTCCAAATCATGGACGGCCACAAGCGCTTCCAGCATTTGTCGAGCATACCAAAGGCCTTCTGAGGGAAAGCAGCCACAGTGCTTGATTTCCTCCCAGAGCTCCCCCCTGGCGAAAACGAAGAAAACGCTCCAGGCTCAAAACACATTTATGCCAAAGGAATTCCAGATCACCCAAACCCAACCAAAACCATGCAAAGGACCAAGGCGGCGCCGCCCAAGGGCCCCGGAATCCTACTGGGCCCACTACTGGCACCGGGATGGAAGGTGGCTGCCACCGGGGAGATGGACTCCGACGGCCCAATGGGCCGTTGCTCCACCACTTCGTAGCTGTCGTTGGGTCTAAGTAGCACGGTCAGTTGACGTGTGGACGCGAAGGGAAGGAGCGGAAGGAAAACGGGTCTGTCCAACCACTCAGTGGAGGCTCGTGGTTCCTGTCCACGCCTCGCAGAGCTCCAAAATGCCAATCCACTCCTCCGCTCCGGGAGATGTGGAAGCGCGCCCCCCGGAGATACCGCGCGAGGAGTTCCCGTGTGCCGGTTGTGCGGTCTAGATCGAGTCAGCAGGGGATGCAAACGTGATGTTTCTCTTTTCCGGATTTTTCCCCCGTTGATGGGTGTACTTTAAGGCAAATCGAAGCATCATAACCCTAGAAGTCGAACCATTGTTTTTATAGCCTTTACCGAACAACCATTGTTTCACTAAGGGTTAACCTATAGGATAACCAGATCAACTATCTTAAAGAATGGTCTTTGACTTCCAGGGATAACCTATCCAGTGATATCAATGTGATATCTAGAGTTGGTGCGTCCTTCCTGCTTGAGACCACCCCCTCGCCGTCTAGTGGAGAGAGATGTTGGACCATCCAGGTAGGGTGACTGACATAAGAACCATCCTCGCTCCGAAAGCCGCGAAACAAGGCTCTCCAACACGGCATATGTCGACACATCGAGCGAAAATGGACTAGAGTGAAGATTCCCTGATCATCCTGCGATATCCACCCGCCCAACATTGGTGCTTTGTGATCCTTCCACCTCAAAAGGACCAGCTTTACGAGGTCCTGCTGTAAAACGAGGCCTTTGATTTGGAGGGGATGCTTTGTGCCAGCTAATTCCTGCTGAACATCCACTTCACACGTTGCAATCATCACTTCGGGCTCCACTCCGGAGCATCAACCCTCCCTGGCACCTAAAACGGAAGGCTGAGGGAGGCCCCAAATATACCCTATAGCATCCTATAGCCCTATAGCCTTCCAACCACCTTTAAATTAATATGCTTTACTGAAGCAACTAAGGACTTACACTACAAAACCAGGTCGTTCCCATTTTGTTTTAATGGTCGAACGGAAGTCGAACGGGAGGAAGGACACATGTTTTGGGCCGTGCGTCCATCTCCAGGTCGATCTCGTAGGCCATCTGCACTACCCACGGTGACTCCTGAAACATCCATCGGCCCAGAGGAGGTCCCTGGAAATTCTCCAAATCGAGAGACGAGTAACACAAGTTGGACATGTTTTAAGAACTCCCAGACACTCCATGGGACTGCCATATATACCCACATTGACCCCCAAAACCACCCCAACTGATCGGCATATATGGCACACATGGAGTGTCTGGGACTCAATCCATCCTTTTTGACCAGCACCTTTCCCACAATCGTTTCCAACGCTTCGTTTCTGGACACCCCGAATCACCACGAAGAGGCTATTTATAGACACCTCTTAGGAAGGTACTGGTAATTCATCACTATATCATATATCAATTATATATAATATATATATAGTTCGACAAGCTTTAAGACTTCTACTACCTGGGGGCTACTTACTATATGCACGTTTAGATCTGTTTGGCATGATGTGATGTCCTATCTGCCTGATGTCTGAAACATCCTAAACCTGAGAACAAACATGTCCCCAACAGCTCGATCAAGAAAGGCAGCAAACAAATGCCAACACCCACGCAAACAAACAAGTAAACAAGTACACGCACAACACACACGCACCACAAGCACCACGCAGTTCTTCGGCACTTCTCAGTTCCTGCCACATGCCCACATGATCTTGAATTTGCTGTCCAGGTTGCGGCTGAAAAATCTGGAACAAGGTGACGGCATCTTTCCCGGAGCCCAGGATATTTCCCAAACACTCCATGTATGCCAAATATGCCCACATTGGGGTGGTTTTGGGAGTCTTTCTGGGGGTCTTTCTGCGGCACATATGGCAGTCCCACACAGGTCGTGTCTGGGTTTTGCACCCAGTCCGGGGGCCCCCAACCAAAACACACCTCCGAACACACCGCCCAACATGGCCCCGTCGCTTCGGCTCAAGGGGGTCCCGGTCCGTCCCGCGACGGTCGGTCGGTGGCCGCCGCTACGCTCCTGCAGCCGGCGAAGGCAATGGACCTCCATGACGATGCCCTGCAGCACGTGAGGCTTGCTCTTCACCACGCGCTTCGCGGCGTAGCTGCTGCCGGTGGCTCGATGGACGCAACGCTCCACCTGGGCTCCCAGGGACGCGGCTGGGGGCCGGTGGTGGTCCGCGTGGTTGGTGAAATCCACGATGAACATGACACTGGTTTGAGGCAATGTGTCTGTTGGGGTTGCAGGTCTTTGCTTAAAGGGGTTCCTTTGTTTGGTGTCGTTAGGTCACCTCTCACAGCAAATGGGCCCATATGAGTCATGAGGCAGCCTGCAGCGCCAATCCTGGCTATGCTTCGGATGACTATCATCATCTGCTGCCAAAGGTTGGGTTTTTGTGCCAATCCTCCGCACGCAACATGGTCCGCAGATCCAGGGTCCTTCTGCAGCTCCCACCTGGCAAAAGGAGCCATGGCCGATGAAGCCCTCGAAGTCAAACTCCGACGTTTGTGCCGCTGCCATGGCGGCGAGTGAGACGCTTGTAAGGTCTCGTCTGTCATCCACCCTTGTTTCCCACCCTTCGACACTATAATTGTTTAGGCCGTTTAGGCTATAATATGTAATATTGAATTATTAACTGTAAAGAATCTAATGCTCAAGATGTTGTGGGCCAACGCATGATCCCACACCCTACGAGCTGGAAATGCCCTTGATACCAAACAGAGCCATGGCCATGGAGAGCAAGCATACCCCAAATGCAGTCTAAGTCTTAGTCTTCTTTACCCGCACTCTCCTGCGAACCGGAAAATCAGCGGACTGAGCGGATTATTTTTTTATTACACCAAGCGCTGTAAATATGATGTTAATACTGCATGCTGTTAACTGTTAATATGTGCACTGGCGCTCTGTATATGTCTGAGTGTGTGTGTGTGTGTGTGTCTCTCTCTCTCTCTCTCTCCCTCTCCAAAGTCTGACTCTGACACGTCGCCGTCTTGCCAGCACAATCTGACGGTGACTGACAATGGCTTTGATTCATTCATCACACTGGAAAACCCAACGGCCATGCTGGTGCCGCGTCACCTGTACCTCCTTGGATGCGAATGAAAACATCTCCCCCCACCACTGGGGAACCCCAAGGGACCACGTACTTGATGTGGATTGTTACGTGGCGAACTCCTCAACTGCTTGAGGGTGTGTTTTCTTCCAATGTCCTTCCACTCACCTCCACTCACATCATCCAGTCGCCACACAAACACGCGCCCCGATGCACGCGACTCGCGCCGAGGCGTTGAAAGGACCAGCGGCCCAGGTGATCCACTTCTCGTCCTCGATGACCACATTGTCCGTGGAATCCCTCTTATCGCCGTCCACGCCGGTGATGAGCTCGTTCCGCGAAAAGTCCGCCAAGAAGCCTAGAAGGGAGGGAGGTGGGCGTCCAGGCCGAGGAAACTCAGTGGAGAAGTGCATTAATGTTGTAACATGCGTTGGTACATTGAAGATTATGATGAGCTTGTTTATGTACGTAGCAAAAAGCCGGCAAATGGCAAGAACTGAGATTTGGGGTTCCAGCAGAAGTGCGGTTCCACACCCCGTAGGGGGGTCCTGGTAGTGGCTTGAGGGAAACTTGGATGTTCGCATTTACCTACAGCGATCGGGCCGATCGGCGCCCACCAACTGCACGGATCGTTCAAAATCCACTCAAAGACTCCTACTGCTACTGCCACTGCTACTGCCATCTCTCCCAGCAATGAGCGCTCTCTGCGCCGAACTCCGCAGAACTCCACGTAAGACACGACTCGACTCCCAGCGCCGCCTAGGCGGTACATGATCATTCCGGAGCTCCACCAATCTGTCAGGTTGAAGGAGTAGTACATGTGCATGAAGCCTCCCGGCGGTTCTCGTGGCTTCAGTGATGGTTCCTTTTTTGGAAGATGGGTGGATGGAGAGATGCCTTTCTCCTGGGTTTGAATTCCCAAGATGACACACATGTAATTTATCTTCCAAATCCACTTTCAGGGATTGTGACCGAAGGTGTTTTGGTTTTGCACCACTGCTGCTGAAACCCTTCCTCCAGCTTAAACTGTGCACAAAGAGCCCACTAATTAGACCGAAAAAAACGCAACAAAAAAAAGGATGGCGAGGCAGGATCTATGCATCTATCGCCTGCAAACCAGCAAAAGACCACAAAGAAGAAGGGCACTGTGGCAGGCACTGCTTGCAGAATGGGCAGCATGGGTTTCCTCGATCTGCGAGCGGGGGATTTCGTGCTTCTGAACAGGTATGGGAAGGGGTCAAGGCAGTGCTTCTGAACTTCTGAACAGGTATGGGGTCTGCTGAACCGTTCAGCAGGATCTATGAGGGTCTGGAACTCTGAAGGAACTCTTCCAACATCTGAGAGCGTTCCACGCTACTTGGAGGTTTGGTGAACTCTGGGACCATCATGGCTCATCTATGCCGACGAGGAGTGAAAACACACCAATGGTGTGGAACTCACCAGGCGCATCACCAAAATCCGCACATGCCTTTGTAAAAGGATGCAAGTGTCGATATCAAAGATATCGACAAGAGGTCTCATGTCTTGCTTTCAAGTACGGGGATCCATGAGATCAAAGGTCAAGAAGCTACTAGTAACAAAGGGATTGCTACAATCAGCAAGGACGCTTACTAGTAGCTCCTGGCCTTACTGCTAGTAACAAAAAGCTACTAGTAACAAGGGCATCGCTAATTACTAGTAACAACGGGCATTACGTGGCATTACTATTTCATGCGCTCTTGAGGCATCCAAAAGCCTTAGACATGAATAACACAGGTTTGCTCATCAAGAAGAGGGAAGTGGACCATGCAGTAGTGACACAATGCTTTTAGAGGATCCCGCGGATTGGTGTTAGTATTTTTTAGTTGGGACTTCCAAAAAAAGATCTAAAATATAATTCCGAAACAGCACAATGGGAACCAGATCCAACCTTCTTCCTCCCTTCAATCCCACTTGAATCCTAGATCATGCCGATCATAATCGATCATATAACCCATGAAGAGGGGAAAAAAAAAAGAAACAAACACATCACCCCAGAAGGACCCCAGAAACATTATGAAACCATCAGCTTCCTCCACTTCCTCCACGCCACCCAGTGGATTCGAAGCCCTTCAGCGTGTTCAACACCCTGGCAGCGACGTGTGTTTTGGCGACGCCTGGATCACCCGAAAAATGCACGTTTGATTTATGGGTTCACGACGATGCACTGGGTGTGCGACACCGGTGACATCATGTGGAATCACTGGGTGACAGGTCTTGTACTGGCTATATATATATATATGTCATGATTTGTATGATTCATCCTTTGAAGTCCCATGTCGGGGCACCCATGATTGATCCACTCACTGAATGGGGTCTAAAAACACCCCAGCAGCTTGGAATCTCCTGGTGTGTAGGATTGTGGCATGGTATTTAGGATGATCTCACTGTACCGGCCGGGCCCCAACCAAATCTACATACCCCTCTCAGGTACGAGGACGGAGACTCTGGTCCCCTTGGCGGGTCCGTCCTCGGCTTGTGCTTCTTCGGGCCCCAAGTAACCCAACAAGTGAAACGCCATCACGAACGCCGTAACTCACTCCGACCAGGCCCCGTTTTGGGCTCCAATGTGTTGTGCAAACCAGTCGAAGAGATATAGACTTGCGCATAGCCCTCCTTTCTAGGATTGCTTCTCCCAGCGATGGTATGAGTAAGTTCCACTGATGTTATGATAGCAATCCATGCAGGGCCTCCACTTGGCTCACAAGGATGCCGATTTCGAATCCCAAACTGCTGTCATCTCTACACGGACGCCCACCGGTCTCGGATGCTGTTTTTTCGGCGAAAGACGCGCCTCAACCATCGGACGAAGCCCGTGAGTGCGAAGATGATCCGCAAAACCTGATGCCGAACGAAGGTAACACCCGGCACCAGGTGTCACCCGTTTCTGCCGCAAAAAAGGCCTGCTGGGGCCAAAAAGAACGGCGTGGGGGGGGCATCTGGCGGCCACAAAACCACTCACATCGCAGCTTTCGCGAGAATCGGGCAACGAAGGATCGGCACCCCAATTTCGGGAACCAAAGGAACATCTGACTGCGACTCACGGGGCCCGCAAAAGTGCAAGTCTGGAGGGTCCCATCTTCTCATGACCAGGGTAGCTAGCCTGCCGCTGCCGCGGCACCCGTTCTGTCAGTGGGCGAACTCGCGGTTGGTCTCGTTCGGAGGGTCCAATGATGCTCTATCTATCGGGCCTGTGACCGTCTTGTGTCGATCTACGGCCTTTTGAAAGGTCGTTTGAAAGGTCGGCTCCGAGGCGACTCCGCAAGGGGTGTTTCTGTATTGCTCGTTCTGCATTTGCCTGTTCAAAGAAGAATCCATGCGGAGCGGCCCCCAGCTGATCAACCACAGCAACAGCAGCTGCAACAAGCAACGGGCAATCCGCAAGCATCATGTTCACTTCTTGGACTGGTGGAAAGGAAAAAAAATGAGAAAAACGTCGAAAATGCCATCTGCCACCATCTCCCCCCTGCAATAGTAGTGAACATGTAGCTCATCTCCCTCTCCATTCCAGCACCACAATCCGCTACAGGCCGAGCGGCTTGATTCTCCTGGACCTTGTCCCAATTGGTCCTTGGTGACGGCAGGTCCCCCCTTGGATCGGATCTCAACAGCCCTGGCCACACGGGCGCCAGAGCATCCACTTTTATGGATACATAGATCCCAGCATAAGTAAACCTGGGTCAAAACACTCATCCAGATCCAAAAGACACAAATCACAACCCCTTCAGTCCCAAAATCGAAAAAAAAAACGCACAGAAAGATCAGGACACCCTCCGGACACTCTCATGCTCCCATGCCCTTCTTCCAACAACCCACCCCGACAAATTCCCGATGTCAACGACCGCCCTTCCAACCTCCGAGGCGCGCCAAGGCAATCTGACTGAAGCCGGTCATGACGATCCTACCGCATCGCCCGCCGGACCACGGCGCGACCACGGCGGAGAAGAGCGGGAGAAGAGTGGATGGTCCATGGGTGGGAACATGATCATCAATATATTAAGGATCGAAAGCTGCACTGCACGGTACAGAAGTTGGTAAAAACCAGTACGCTGGATGAACACCTGATGAACTTCTCACAAACAGCAGGAATGAACAAGAAGTTTTTGCAAGACATCCATTGCCCTTTGGAGAACGAAACGCACATCTGTCCGTAACAGGAAGAAAACGATTCCCATCATGAAAGTGGAAAATGGCCCCCGGAAAGACCACTCTCCTCCACCAACAAAGGGGATTGCCCACTTGTTGGGAGGGAGGGAGGGTCAAGTCATCTCAGAGATTCATTTCTTGCCACTGTCCTTCATCCCTCATTGACCGGAGCTGCCGCCCTCGACCGCCTGTCCCGCCCAGCCAAAAACGTCCTGAGGGCATCCCCGAGGTTCTCAACCGACCGGAAGTACTGACAGAGTTTCCTGTGGCGGAGTCGTCACACCAAAGCACTCTACAGCATACA